TACAAGATTGTTCCATACGTTTGAAAGTTGAAATAATGTATCTTCACAATGAAATATAGGTAAGGTTATCACATATGCTCACTTTGATTCACTAGGACTGCAAACAAAATAATTATGGCATGCACAGTTGTGTGCAGGACATTGTGTAATTGTGCACGCACAATAATGAGCCTGTGCACTCAAGTGAGACAGACCCAAACAAACAAAATAACAGACTCAACCAACCATATCTATGACCAATTACAGGATAAATATAATAGCCTCACACAGTAGAGCCTAAAATATTAAAGAACTAAAGAAAGAAATTAGATTTTTATCCTATTGCAGTGGAATATGAAACTATTAGTTTATGTTTTCATGTCAACAAATAATGCAAGATGCTTCCACAGTAAAATAAAAATAGCCTCGTGACATCAGGAAAGTCACTATGAAAGTGTTTATATGTTGCCAAAAGATGGCAATGACCTTCATCAATCAAGGTGTAGTTCCATAGAACACAGTGTAAGTAAACCACTTTAAATAATTTCGACTTCCAACGACTAAACGTGCATATTCGTGCCATTTGAAACACGTACAGGAAATTTTAGGGCACTGGCTTCAGAAATGACAAAACCTTTGTGTTTACAGTTCTGTATTTTAATAGAGATGCCATCAAGTAATGTTTATTTTCATCAACAAAATTTTAGTCCCATTAGAAATATTGTAAAAATTTGTAGGGAGACACTCAAATAAGAGTACTAATCACATTTTCAATTTATTACAGGTTTTTATATTATGTTGGGTATTTTCACGTACTACAATTTAGGATTAAAAAATGATTAAGTTGTTGCACCTGATGATGTCCAACATATTAATGACGGGTAGTTTGAAAAATGTTCAAAACACAGAAGAAGCTATAAATAGGAAGAATAGTTAATTAGTTGAATGGAATTGATAAATGATCACAACGACTAATCAATTAGCTAATCCCCCAGCTCTATGACTCCCTATCTTTACCCAGCTACATCACCCGGCTTTATGACTCCCTATCTTTACCCAGCTACATCATCCCAGCTCTATGACTCTCTATCTTTACCCAATTACATCATATGGTACTTTGATTTCAACCAATTTCATTTCCTTTGAATGTTGATTACCACTTGCACCTAACTAATGCAAGGAGGTTGATATCTTTTCAATACAGTTGTACTGGATTTAATAAAAGGGCTTCCCATTGCAAAGCTTGTCAGCTTCTTCGTTTAGATTTACTCCTGCACGGCCTTACACATACATCCAAGTGATGGTCTTCCCAAGCAGTTGCCTGGGAACAACGCACTCGTAAATTCTACACAGTAACGCCTGTGTGTCAGTCGCAAATATTATGTTGTTGAACTTGTCTATTTGCAGTTCACTGTTTTCGGCAATCCAGTGAAGAGCTTGTTTTATGACTTAAAGCTCCATCCTTGTGTTGCTGGTGGCAAGCTTGCTTTATGGCTTAAAGCTCCATCCCTGTGTTGCTGGTGACAAGCTTGATTTATGGCTTAAAGCTCCATCCCTGTGTTGCTGGTGACAAGCTTGATTTATGGCTTAAAGCTCCACCCTTGTGTTGCTGGTGACAAGCTTGTTTTATGAATTAAAGCTCCATCCCTGTGTTGCTGGTGGCAAGCTTGATTTATGGCTTAAAGCTCCATCCCTGTGTTGATGGTGGCAAGCTTGCTTTATGGCTTAAAGCTCCATACTTGTGTTGCTGGTGACAAGCTTGCTTTATGGCTTAAAGCTCCACCCTTGTGTTGCTGGTGACAAGCTTGCTTTATGGCTTAA